TAGATTTGGGCCAATTAGAGTGGGGTGGTAGATTTGCAGACTTTTATAATCATCTAGCAATTAACAAAATTATTATTTCAGTGACACAACCTATTGGGAGAGAGACCTACAACTAGGATTTTTCTGCTTCTTCAGCTCCCAAATTGATGCATAAAGACAGTAAACTCTCGAGTCATGGGTCATTTTCTTCTGGGTATTTAATTTTTTTGGGGCCCTCAAGATCATACACATTGCATGATCATTTATTAACACACCAAAACTCTCCCACCCTTTGTTTCCTAACGAAGGAGAAAGAAAAAAAAAAGTAAAAACCTTTAGTGGATTTCGTCACTTGTCATGTCATATCTTATTTAAATTCTGAAAACGACTACAGACATTCATATTTTGTCAATGATTTGAGTTAATTCTGATTAAGAATTAGAAAAAAAGAAAGAAACTTGTACAAGGATTCAAGTGTTACAAGTTTGCACTAGCAAAGGTTGACAGCATCAACAAATTGTGTGCTTGTACTTGTTGCACATATGGTTTGTCTAATCTCATCTTCTCCCTACAAAATATCTCAAGAACAGAGGAAAATCAAGAAAAGAGAAAGAAAACCCAACATTTCTCTTCATCTTTTACTTTGTCTCAAGAATAAAAGAAACGAAAAGAAAAAGGGTGGAGAGGCGTTTTGTCTCTTGGCAGAAACACTGGTCTTTGAAGCCAATAGGAGGTCAGGGGCAGGCAGCCGCACAAGGAAAGGTGTTCGTTTTGGCCGCAGAGGGGGCTTGCGTGGCGCAAAATTCCAAAACTTTGAAGATTCATTTCAAAGAGAAAGGCTGAAAAGCAAACAATCCAGAAGATCTTCTTTATTGTTCTCCAGGTCGTTACTATGAAATTCAATCATGGCCGTACACGTAATGTCAGGTTAACGGTCTTCCATTTCCTCGTTCAGTGCAAGTCGTGCAACTAGGCCGTCCACCCCACCCCTAACCCCGCCAAACACTGGTCCCTACTTCCCTTGGTCCCCACGCCTTGATTTCTAGCTCGGCCATCAGTGCTTGATTGTTTTCTCCACGGGGTACGGCTGTGATCCTCGTGGTCCCACTAATCTTTCCGATCTCATCAGCCTGATTTGGACCCTCCATTTTGGATAAGCGTGGCTCGTTTTGGGAGATCGACATAAGCATCCTGGCCCATTATTTTGTGGGCTTCTTCATTGTTCTGTGGCCCCCTAAAACGAAAATGACCCTTAAACCTTTCAACTTTTTACTACTTATTACCACAGTATTCTGCATATGCCCCATAAATTGTGCTGGTGAAAAGCATTCACAACCTCTACCAGAACTGATAAATTTTTGTAGGCATTAAGTCTGTATACATATATTGCAGCGAGGAAGCTGAGAGACTTCAATTCCATTAGAACCTGAAGAAAGTTATTTCGCAACAATAGGACCTGAAATACATTAATAGTCAAAATTAATGCTTTAGGTTCCATATGGTATTATCCCATAAGTTTAAACCATAAATTTTGACTTTTACAACACTTGGGTTTTAAGTTTTTTAAGTTTAGTTTAATTGATATTCTCATTATTTATTTTTTTCATATATTATTGAATTTTTTATAAAAATAATATCAATCAAACGGAATCTTGATAATCTAAAAGTGTTAGGAATAATCATCGATATGGGACTAGGTCTGATATTGACATCCTACACGATAAAATTGGGTACAAAGGTACAATCATTTGAAAATAAAATAAATAATAATAATAGTAATAATAATAATAAAAAGGAGTAAAGAGAGAGAGGCGAGTTTGGAGGGTGAGGTGGTGACATGAAATAGGTATGGGATATTTGCACCTTAAATTCCAATGTTTCCTTGTGCTCCTTCCCCAACCGCAACTAGGCAGTAAAGCAAAAATCCTGAGAGGCCCATATGGAAAGTGCAAGTGGGGAGAGGGAAAAAGGAAAAGCAAAATAAGGAAGGGCCATAGGCCGTATAATCCCCTACTCATGCGTTGCGTGTGGAAAAGCAGGCAGGTAGGGCCATGGGCCATGGGGGTGGCTTCTCTTTCATTTTCACCGACCGACACTACACTGATATGAGACGAAATGTACAGAGATACCCTTCCCCTAAGAAATACTACCTAGAAGCATAGGTACACACATTGACTGAGTATCCCATGACTTGGTGTTAATAGATATATTTAATAGAAAAGCCCACAACTCTGAACTCACCACCCACACACAGTTCTTGTGGGATTGGGATTGCAGTTACATGCGCCCATGCCCTGCGTCTGCCACTTGTTTGCATTTCCATTGACTATCTTTGCCATAAAATATTTATGGCTTTCTCCATTTCCAAATACCCGCACTTGAGTGTACGCACACACTCACACACACCCCCTCTCTCTTAACTCTAAAAATCTCTCTCCTCTTTTCTTCTGGGCATTATATCTTGTCATCAGATAAAATGAAGACAAAGTCACTGTTTAGATTGTTCAAATCTTGAATGTTTTTTCTTTGTCCATATCTATGCAATTTATTGATAGGCAATACTTCTAACAATTTATTGAAGTAACTAATTAGTTGTGTTTCTCTTCTGTATCGAAATTTGATGAGTTGTTAAAACAGACCAACTGTTATTGGTCTGTCACTGCCCATTTTGGGGTGCTGTTCTCTCTCTTTCTGGTTTGGTCTTCTGGACATTATAAATCAAGGCCCAGGAGTAAAGTGGTCTGTCCTTCTACTTTGAAACAGTCCTACCCTATCCATGGAGCAGAGGCCCGCGTGGCTCAACTGGACCATTGTTTTTCAGTCTGAAAGCACAGATTCTCCTCTTTCAGTCCCCTCCATTAACACTGAAATGGAGGCCTATCTTTTTAGAATTAGAACATTTTTATGGGCTTAAAATGCTCCAATGCAATCACCGACAAGATAGACAAGCTTCTCCATTTTGAGTCCAGACTAGAACCCAACATGGCAATGAATAGGGGCAAAAGCGTGGATGTTATGTTATCGAGCAAGTGTGTCTGTGATTTAGTGGAAACAGCAGGCGCGAAACTAACAAATCCACCCCCTTTTTTACTCTTTTCCTGTTCGACCAAACAGTGCTCAAGCCTTGGTTTAGGAGGGGTTTATCCTGGAATCTAAAACCCGAATACCTGAACCCAAGGAAAACCCGAAGAAAGCCATGGAGGAGGCAGGTGCTCAGCCCGTCTGCGCGCAAGAAGCTCTGGCTTTACTGAATTGCGTTACCCAGTCTCCTTTTGATCAAGAAAAATGCATCCGTCTCTTGCATTCTCTCCGACAGTGCGTCCTCAATAAGGTACTGTTACTAATTCCCAGGCTCCATTTTTACGAAAAAATTGTGAAATTCTGTTTATATTGTTATAAATTGGTAGTTTGATTAATCCATATAGGTCAATTACGTATTCTGTATTTGTATCCAAATCCCTAATGCAATACCGAAATTGCTCCAATTAAGTCATTGCTTTTTGCAATGTGGAATAGTTAAATCTAAGAATGATCTGTGCCAGTTCTAATGGTATCTATTTGAGCTCTCCGATTCAGTTAGTTCAGCATCAATTGGGTGTTTAGGCAGGATAGTTTTTGGTGTCACTAAACAAAAACAATTAGGACCTGTTGTCCCCATGAAATTATGAGCAAATGCACTCATTTTCCCCATGTTTCATGTTTATTCACCTTGGATTTATTTAAAAACATGTTTGCCAACATGCTTGTCTTTATGGATTCTGTGTGAATGTGTCTTTCTAACTTCTGCTCTCTTGCGAGCCATTCCTCTTTGCAGAAAGTAAAGAAATTTTCGCTAGATAATCAAGACCAGCAGGACACAGATTCAGTTAGCAAGAAGAATTGATGAAATCTTGTGTTGGAAGAATATATCACCAGATGGACTTACTTTTTTTGATCTTATATTGTTGGGAAACATGGTTGTTTTTTCAATCAGTTGTTGAGAAACCAGATATTCAGTCCAAAATGCTTCCATTGTGAACTGAAATTCTTACTTAATATTGAACTTGAAATGGTATCCACTTATCTGCTGTTGGCTGAGAACTTCTTTAGAAAGGTTAGGTGGTGGTGCCACTGGTGTGTGTCTTTGTGCTGTTTGATTGCTCAGGCACAAGGCCTATTTCATTTTACCAGATGCAGTTGCGATCGGGCCTGCAAAGTAAATATTTCCTAGTTTGGAGTCTAAACATCAAATAAGTCCCGTTGTTTTATGAACATATTGTTAATGGTGAGCTGGGCTGGAGTTCCCTTGGCCTGGATCATTCTACCTGATGTTAGAACCTCTTAAGATCATGAATAACAGAAGAATGGAGTCTTCTTTTGAATATGGTGCAATGCAAGGAAAATAAGTTTAGCTTGGTTATTACTGCTCTTTGGAAATTGTGTTTCTGCTGTCCATGGAGAACCATTTCTCTTGGAAGATATCTTCCTGTTTTTGTTTATATATCCTTTTTATTTCCCTGGAGTTTGGCTGCTTGGTCTGCTTGGCGGATTTAAATAGTTTGTTTGGCTAATACAGAAATTTGTATGATGTAATACTAAAAAATTCTTGGATGGTCAGGGAGCACATTCTGGAGCTGACAACTGTAGAAATTCTAGCCATGGATAGAATTGCTTTATGAGCATCTTTAGAAATCAATTGGTCCTTGTACCACACCCTGTTGGTCGAAATCTACAACTACCAAATTCTTCAAATCTTCACCCAAAATCTTCACAACTTTTCTCAGGTGTTTAATTCTGTAAGCTGCATTGCTCAGAATTCAGAAGGTGAAAAAGCATTCAGGACCTGCAATTGCTAGTAGGCTAGGGCTTCGTAGATGCCATTTGTTCTAGTGAGTAACACAATTAGGCATAGAAACCTATAAACTCAGTACGGTAGTTTTCCAGAATTACTTGAGTCAATCACATAAGATGGAGCAGGTTGCATGCTGAACAAATTAGTAGCCCAGCAAAGAGACCATGGAGGGAATGCTAGAAAATAGGGGTAGAAAAGAAGACTGAAAATCTGAATACCACCAAACATAAATATGACATTACCAACATCCACAAAAGCCCAAGTGATTAATCGAAATCTCTAATTACAAACATTTAGAACCATGGTTGCACATCATCCATCCCCCAACAAAATACCAAATGTTACAATTCCCATCTCTCTCTCCTTTTTCTCACTCTTTAGTCTTAACTTATACCCAAAAAAGAGGGAAAAAAAAAACTCAGCACCCCAACCTAGCTCCATTAGCAAGCTCAAAAGCTGAAGCAGATATCAGCAGCGTGAATGAGGTATGTCAGCACCAGCGCCACCAGCATCAACACGTATGCAATTCCTTGGTCAATCGACGTCCCTGTTCGCCCCCCCATCAAAGAGTTAAATTTTAAACAAGAATTCAAATGGCATTTGATCTCAGATCTAAAGAAAAACAAAGAGAGACAGAACTAACCATCGCTTGTGGGGGCAGGGGCGGGAGCAGAGGACTGGGCCTGAACAGCAGCAGGCAAGGCAATCATAGCAAAAACGAGAGCTACAAAAACAGCTGCAAGAGAAACCCTGGAAACTGCCATTCTTCCTTTCCGATAAAAACAGAAAATGCTCGATCTCTCTCTGCGATGCTTCTCAAATTTAGCTTTTGTTCAAAGACACTCCTGCAATGGCACAGGAGAGCCTCGCAGAGAGAGAAAGAGAGGAAAAAGAACCGCTCTTTCCTTCTTTCTTCTAAGAGGAAGGAGCAGAATACCTGGAAGCCAAGGAAACAGAGAGAGTTTCTGATGATGTGACGACGAAAAGCAACATAGGGTTGGCGATGTTTTTATATGGAGCGGTAGGGTGGGGAGAGAAAACCGGTGTGACCAGTGACCGGTTATTAAAAAAATAGGAAAGGATTTGTGGTGTGGAACCCAACCGAACCGAACCGTATTTTTCGGAGCGTTTGGACTTGGTTGGCGCTTGGCTGTTGCCTGGGGATACCGAGTCAGAGTCGCCCCCATGTGCTTCCTTCTCGCCCCCCTGCCTACCATCCTTTCCGTCCCTGATTTTTTGGCCCCTTTGGGTGACAGATCAGTCTGTGACATTAGTTGGCGCCATCTGCTTCGGTTCTGATTCGCCCATGTGTTGTTGCCCTTTTCTCCTTTTTTCTTTTCTTTTTTAAGTTTTTTTAACAATTAATTATTAATAACCCTTTTTACCATGTTTCGTGGTAATATTTATATAACTATAATGGGACTTAGGATATTGGGTATCCAAGAACTAATACAACCGGATTTGAGTATCAAATACTTTAAAATAATATCTAAAATTTATCCAAATGTAAAACGGGTAATAAAATTTTTACTTGGAACTCACTTTAAATCCAAATATAAATTATCCGAATTTTATCTTATCGGATCAAAATTTACACAAATCTTAATAAAATTGATTGATGTGACATTGAGCCCATTGCCCCCAAAAGCAACCCAATGGGCCCAAGTTTCTATGCGGGATATACCTTGTTTTCTTTTTTATAAAAGATAGGTTCACTCATAATTGAATTATTAAGAAAGAATTAGTGTGTTAAGTGAGATAAATAGGAACAAGCAATACAATTGTCATTACCTTAACTAAACTAATGGATTAAACACAAGACGCTGCTGCATGAAGTTGGCCAGGTGAATCTATTCACAGTTTTACCCCTTTTTTTCCTCGTTAATGGAAATTAATTTGCAATTTGACAAAATTTCTCTCATGGTTGCGCTTTAGAATCTGTTCTTAAAGCCAGCAAATGCCAACAAACATTCGTGTGACTAAAAAAAGAATTGTAGAAGTTCTGGCAGAACAACAACACAGCTAATGCCAACAATCATTCTCTTGTGTGAAGATTCCCTTCACCTTAATCATTACGAGCTTGAATCTTCCACATGAAAATATTAAGACAAAGATTCTTAACTACTTTTTCATTTAATAAGCAAGGAATAAAACCATCTCCTTGATCCAATTCATATAAATTATGTTATGAAAGAAAAACCAGTGCAAATGGCGAAGGGAAATGAATTGATGAATTGATTGATTGCATGCCATATATAGGTTATTTGAATGAGAATATTGTTGAAAATAAAAAAGTTAGCAGTACTAAACTTTCCCTCCTCACTCTTCAACCATGACCTATCATCTTCAGTGTTTCACCATAATCCTGATGGGTTTTGTTTATGCTGCGTGTCAAGCGATACTGAGATGGCAGTGCTAGATTTTCAATGCAGGTTATGGCTCTTGTGTTGTCTACATCAAGATTTTGAAGGGCTCTTATCCTTTTCTGTCATGGTGAACAATCCTTTCTTAACAAAGTGTCAAAGCTGATTAATTTAACACTGACATATAGGGATTTGGTGGTTTGCAGATAAAATTGCCTTGGCCGATAAGCATCCTGGGGACGCAATTGGATCAACCATTTCTAATCAAATACATAAAAAAATTGAACCATCATTACATCAAACATCACTTGTCTGTCTCAACAATTAATAAAACCCAACTGCAAGAGAAGCTGCAATACATTCATGTCAAAGGAACGGGGTCTTGACATTTCTATTTTTTGAAATGTGGATGTTTGTATTAAAGGGTAGAAAGTTACAGGAGTAAGGTCTACCCTACCCTGAAATACATCTTAAAAAAACACAAGAACAGGGCTCAGACATCCATGAGGACGCATGAAGGGGGGGGGGTGGGGTGGGTCTTGACATATTGCAGCAATGAAATCGATGGCTGCTTGATTCATTGTTTCTTTTAAATGCTGATTCAAAACTTCTTTATCCATTTGGGGAGTTGTAGTTAGCCTGAGAGGTTTCATTCACATTAATTTTTCACGACACCCAAGCACTTCGACATTGGTCAGTAAATAATTGACCAACTGCTGCTGGTTTTAAGCTATCGATATCCCAAACTAGATACTTTGATCTTATGACGGTCGCTTCAGAGCCACATGTTTTCCTGACATTGGACCCATCAAACAAGTGGGATGTCAAGAAACATGCATCATGAAGGATGAAGCTTTAACAAACGTGAAACGCATACACAGGGATTCTAAAAACGGCCCTAATGATACATCAGCGTCTAAAAAGAAAGATTTTTACACTGTTTGGACCTTGAACAATACAAAACTTTACTCATAGTACAATTGTGTAATCTACGTACAGAAAGCAGTCTCCTGTGAAAGTTATTGCAGTATCATCAACAATAAGAACTGTAAATTTCATACATTTTTCCCCATATGTAGCTAAATGTCCCTGCCGTGTATGAGAGGTCACAAGTAGCTGTCATATTTAATGGGAAACCTAACAGGCGAGAAAACTGAACGTATTACTCCATAGTCCTTTGTATCAATGATGGCTCTGTTAGACTTTCTTGTTCTTTTTCATCCTCATCTTCTAATCTCTACAAATAACAAGGCTGGAAAAATTTTGTAATGAGATCTTCGAGTTGTCAAATGCTTCAATTATGTTACACGATAAGAGTTGTCATGTGCTTGTCGTGTAAAAGCGACCCGCCATGTCTTGTTTTCATTCTTTTGCAGCAGATGTTGGTTGTCCAACTTCTTTCTTTTCTTTTCTTTTTTTCTTAATTGCGGTCGAAATAAACATGTTTAGCAGGTCATTATATTGAAACAATACGTGTAATGGATGAGGACCTGAGACAGAAATTCTGAAACTCTTGCTTGGGACGTTTGTCATGGTCCTCATGGAGCAAAGCATGCTACTGATTCTGAGGACGCTACGTATATGAGTCAAAGCCTTAGGCAATTAGTACAAAAGAAATTGAAACTATATTTCCATTACAATAAGGTGGTAATTAATGATATCGCCAAATTACATAATTAGTGAAATATAATACACTGACACCAACTATCGAAGCTACTTCAAGAGTACAGAATATTGCAAGACTTAATCAGTTAAAGCATGATGATATACAGTAGGGGAATAGAGTAGGCTGATATAATTCATACTGAAGCAAGAGCAGACGGATGCCTGAAATTAACCTCTATTCATTCTGGGAAGGCCAGAGAAAGGCTCCCATAGCAAACTTTCTCTTTTCGTTGATATCTCCAACGACGGGCAGCCCATACTCGTTAAGCAGGCAGTCCAGCTGCCACTCGGGCATGTTCTCATAGTCACTCTTCTTGTACCTTGGATAGTGAAGTGGCATCTGAAAGCAACAGCACTTATCATTCCTCTTTGCTTGGTGGCGGTTCCCATTTGTCCTTAACCCAGCCATCGCGTAAGAGGCGTTGGGGCAGCTTGTTCCGCTCATCTTCACCTTTGTACTCTTTTTTTGAAGCACATAGGAATGGTTCCGAGTTAGCCTTTTATAGGCAACCGGAGGATCAGGGTGTAGAGGGGGAGAGAACACTGGAGGGCGTACTAGAACAGGCAAGCATCAAGTGTAATTAATATCTTGATCGTGAAGTATTTGAAATTTCTGGGCCTGTCTTTACCGGGTTGTGGACACTAAAGAGTAGGAGTCACCATTCAATGCATTTACTTATAGTGAAAGCAATCTATCATGCTGCAAAATATAAATGCATACAAATTTTCATACGGATAGGATTGATTTGAGTTCTTGTTAGATTATGGACCTACGTACCACAATTTCTGTAGCTTTCCAACTCAAGCAGTAATGTTTCCTGGCTGCATATTATTCGTCAAATCTGGCTCTTCTTCACAACCACAACCCGAAGCTGAACTCATCTTGAAATCCAAATGAAGCTGACAAAACCCAAGGTTAGATTGTAGAATTGGATCATTCTGATTAGTGTCTAGCTAAAAGAAATAAAGCTCTTACCATCATTTCATATTTATCTGAGTTGCTAGGACAACAAGAGTCAACTGAACAAAGAACTTTAACCAGAGAATTGCTAGAATTGTAAGTTCTAATTATTATTCTCTAATCTACATCCCTTACAAACTCTAAGCATATATTGTCATTGTCTTTCCCTCTTATTTCTGTTACATCCAATAGGGGTTCCGGGGATACTGAGGAAGGTTTGAGAATGTTCCTGGTTTAGAATAGATCAGTGCAAAAAGGCTTGAACCTCACAGAAATTACTGGTCTTAAGAAAGAAAGAGAGTCGGAGCTTGCTGGCTCTACTGATGATTAAGACTTAAATAAGAGTTCAAATCCTGACGCATCCTTGTAGTCAAGAGATCTTTCTAATCGATGAAGTCATTTGGAAGTTAAGAGCTCTAATTATCTGTAAAAGGCCCTCCATTCAATGATCATCCCATATTAAAGGTAAATTTACATAACAAGAAAAAAAAAAGGGAAAAAGGAAAGAGTCAAAAACCTCGGCTAATTAATATGTAGGGTCTGATTCAAGGAGAATATACATACGGTGTAAGGTGAACTAATTTCTTGCCTAAATCAAAAGGAATTCAATTTGTTTTTAGTGTCATCTGAATTCTGGTCTGAAATAAACTTCCGTAGTTGAATCAGGTTTCTATAGCCAAAGAAAAAACCAACATATTGTATCTGGTAGCCAAAGCTCCATTATTTCCTTCCATCACGCTCCCATACCAAGTCTAAACAGGGAAACATTGAACGTTTATTGCATAGTTAATGAGGAAAATTAAACGCAAGAAGAATTTCACAGCCAATTTCCTGTTACTCTGAAGAAAAGTCGTAAATGGATTTGACATTCAAGAGGTATAACAGAAGCATTGCCAATCTACAGATGAATTTTTGTTCATGTATATTATCAATTAGGTGTTCTTTCCGTTCAGTAAAACTCTAGCTGGGTAGTTCGATGGTCAACGTGCTCTCTGATGTCAATTGCTTATGTTGGAGAAGTATCAGAACGTTGTACAAAGGTTCTGGTTCCAGTAATGGGCACTTTCCACATACGCTAAGAATGTTTTCAACCCAATGCTCCACACTATCTGCATATGCTAAGAATGTTTTCTGCCCAATGCTCCACACTTTCCGCATATGCTAAGAATGTTTTCTACCCAATGCTCCAGGTACTGTGATTCATCGAGTTCGATACCCGCAGCCCAACTTTCAAAAAGAATCTGCAAATACCATAAGGATGTTTTACCAACTTTGAGTAACAGCAAAGTTTCCCCCGTCTCCAAGATAAATCAGGAATCTGTTCTTCGTTCATTTTTTATCTTACTCTGGAGATGTTTTCATGATTAAAGGCATATCTATAAGCGTGTTTGGAGTGCAAAATAAATGTGTAGTGACATCATGCAGGTGATAATACCCAAGAAAAGCTGTGGTGGGCAGGATAATCAACTATACAAGTGAGAAAGAAAGGCTGGAATCTTACCTTTAGAATCATATGACTTCTAATTGCATGGAATTTTACCTGCACTGTAGGCTTGAAATTGGATAGGTATATTCACAGAACCATGGTCAGTAGCATTGCCATTGATTTTGAATAAACCTGAAACAATAATTAATGCAATATGATAAGAACAAATTAACCACGGTTGGATGCTTAAAGATAAAAAATAAGCTTGTTGCAAGAATATCACAAACAGCACCTCACAATGAGAATAGCACATTAGTGATGCATTTTCATGTGATATAAGCAACACAAGACCATGGCAACCACAAAAAAAGTCTGAAAGAGAAACACATTACCTTCACAATGTTGTCAGCATACTTCATCAGCCATGAAACCAATAAGCCAGTTGATCCAAGATTCAAAACCACCCAGCAAGTTGTAGAACTATATCATTGAGAAGGCGATGCTACCAAGGGCCAATCTCAAATCCACTCCTAAAGTCACCCAGGAAAAGCTGTGCCATAATAAAATTCACTCAAAACCTGAAAAAGAAAGACAACACCTATTAGTAACTGATATATTTACAATTTACAGGCATTCGGGTATAATGCACCATACAGTACCACAAAGATATGTAAACATCTACATGCATAAATACAATAAAAATTTCACAAAGAAAAAGTTATAATTTCATCTACCTACATGCAAACAATGCTTCATTTCCTCCTCGACTAGGCTTAAAAGAGATATCTAATGTATAATTGTATATTCTGTCAGCAATAGCCATCACTACTCCTTTTCAGCAGAAAATCGCTATAGCTACCAGCTAATGCTGATATAGAAGCAGAAAGAATCCTCACCATATATCCTTGACTCAATCTCAAGGTCAAGTCAAAGTCAAAGCAACAAAAAGTAAGAAGCAATTCGGTAATTAGAAATGGTATAGTCAGAAATTGTAGAAATAAGGAACACTTAACTACCCTGCTCTGACTGTATATCTTGCATTGGCCTATAGCTTAACTCTTTGATTTCAAATTTCCTTTTCAAAAGAAAGGATTTGTTAAAAACAAATATTGCACTGCCAGTAAAACCAGATTATAATCAGTTAATTTGACATATATAATTGCATTATAAGCACCTGAACAATATACCAGTTATAAAAATCTTCAGATTAGCCATTATCTGATGGGTGGATGTGTCCACATAGGTCAGTGTGGCAAACTGAATGTTGTCATGAATTGGATATATGAGTAAGGGACTAGGGAATAAGCACATGCTCTTCCATTCTGAATAATCATCGGGGAAGGAAAAGTCTGGCATTCTTTCACGTAGGAGTAAACTAGAAACCAATAGCTGTAGTTTTAATAAAAAGCCATAAAAGATTCAGGGCATTGCTACCATAAACAACCTAAAATGAACGCTAAAGAAACTGACTCATAAAGCTATTTCTAAATCAGGAATTGGGCACTTTTAAACAAGGTAAATTATTTATAAAACAAACATGATGAAATATCTTCAAAACTTCTGCAAGAAAGTGAACAATTGCAAAGTCACACTTATACCCTCCTTTAGTCTGAGAGAGAGAGAGAGTAGTCAGCATTCCCTATCATCAAATAGCATAAAAGATGGCTACAACCAATATTTGGCATCATTTTAAAGGGGAATTAACACATCACAAAATCAATTAAAAAAAAAAAAGCTATCACACTAATGAGGTTATAAGCTTTCAAAACTCTGGATTTAAAAAAAATCATAAAAGCACTGGAACATGTAAACCATGTAAACTAATTTTAGCAATCTTCCAAATTAAATACCATTTCCAATATACTGCTTTAAAATATATAAGATCAGAAAACCTCAGCATTGTTATAATTAAGCTTACTATAGGGAAAACAAAAATACAATATCCTATATTTGGTCAGAGTAACTATTTATTTTCTGCTTGGTGTGTGGATGGGTTCATGAACACAGGACTAGGAAGTAGGCACCTCAACTTGCAGGGAGAGCCATTATCAGTAGGGTTGGATATGGTTGTCTAGAATCTTAGCTCACATTACAGTTACAAAGACCTAAATCAACATCCTTTTTCAATTTCCTCTTCACCAGCATTGTATTTCCTAGCAGGGATACGACTCTCACCCTTCGAAATAGGATCCTATATTTCGGCGATGTGAAATTTAAACCAACACCAAACTCCAGTTGGACACAAGTTTTCTCCATAGTCCTCCTCCTATTTCGAGCTATTCCCAGTTTCCTTCACCAAATTTGACATGGGGCATTAACTTTGCTCTCTTTAAAGATAACAACAATGAATTATTGATGCAGGGTTCCTTTCACAGCTTTGATTACTCAAAAATATAAGCCACATTTTGGATGACCCAGTTCAATCAATCAACACAAGCATGTTTAAAAAGAGCAAAAAGAAAAGCGTGAAAACCGCCAATAGTATAAAGAAATGGTCTAGAATGTGAGAGGGTAATGATGACAGCTGAAAGTGAATTAACAACGCATTGGGTAACGATAATATTTGCTCTCAGATCAAGCAACCGTTTCATAGACAGATTTCCAAACAAAAAGAAGAAAAGAAATGGAAATCGAAAGAAGAAAACAAAAGAGGTGAATAGGTTCTTTTACCACAAGAGAAAAATGAGTTCTTTATAGAGTTTGGGAATCATACCTGAGAACTGGTGAAGAATGGTGCGAAGAAGCACCGCATTTTTTCTTCTTTTGGCTCTTTGTTTGCAGTCATTAGCAGTAAAGCACTTGTTGCTTTCATGGCTGCCATCAAGAAATTTCTAAACAAAGAAAGTTGTTGAAAATGATACAGGAAACGTTTTCAATGGTCACTATGACGAAATCGTGGGACGGTTGGAATCAGGGCCTTAACACGCCGCGCCCAAAGCTTAAGACGTGCCGCGCACCGCCCTTAAACCTTTGAAATTGCCACGTGGCAGGTCTTCTTCTACCACTTAAACCACCAACGAGAAAGAAAATTTGCTCATAATGAAAAAAAAAACCCAGTTATAAGAAAATACTAAACCTACATAAATAATTTGCAAATTGAGTTATTATTATACTAACTTATTTTTCCCCTCACAATCTAATTATTTTAATATAATATATATTTGGGTAAAATATGTTTAATATGTCAAAATCAGCAAAAAAATAAAACTTAATTATATTTCTCTGTCAAGTTGCCTTACTTTGAAGGTTGCATACCAAGGCTTAAACAACTCCAATTAATTGAATTGATTTATTTATTTTGAAGGTAGAACCAATCCTTAGTGAGTTGGTTGGTAGGCTTTTATGTATTTCAAAATGAAGTTGGGAAAAAGACCGCCTTCGTTGGAAATCCTTGTAAAATACGACGTCGTGTCTCGTTTCAATTTTCCGGGAAACCAAACGGGTAGACCGTTGAAAACAGCAGACAGTTTTTTTTTTTTTCTTTTTGAAAGAAAAAATGAACTTTGAAAATTTAAATAAAAAAGAAAAGGAAAAGGAAAGCATAAATGACGGAAATCGCGGGAACACGTTTATATAAAGTCTCCAAAGAAATCGGGGACGTGTTCAAAGTTTTCAGAGTAAAAAAAAAAAAAACCTTAAATCTGTTTCAGTTATTCTAAAAAAGCTTTAAGCTGACTTTGTTCTGTTCTGTTCTTCAGTTTTTGTTTTCTTTTTTATCGTTACAAAATAGTTTTGGAGGAGATTTTCGTTTCTTGCTTTGATCGTTTCCATTTTTCACCTGAAATTTTGCTTTCTAGAATTCCCCAAGAATTCAAAGGTTAGGGGACAGAAAAGAAAGGAATAGGTCTATCAGGGGTTGTCAGGTGCTCTCTCATGGCTGTTTTGATTCTTGAATTGGTCAGTTTTCCTTTTTGTCTTTTTGTTGGCACATCATTTTCAATCTTATTTTTTGGTTTTTTCTCTCTTCTTTCTTTGTTTCTGTTCTCGTCTATGTGGAATAAAGATGGAAACTTCCTTGATCAGATCAAACTTTTGGGATTCTAGCGAGTCACAAGGGAATCAGTGTGTTCTTGGCTGCTTGAATTGGATTGGCGTAGGACGGAGAGACTTATCACTGAGAGGTCTGTATCAGGATGAACATTTCTTTTCCGTTTCATATCTTTCAACCAATATATCAATATATATATATATATAGTATATATATATATATATTTGATTCAAGATCTTACAACCGTCTAACCATTTTCTTTATAAAAATGATATGTGCAGGTCTGGAGGTTTTGGGCTGTTAAGTCCGGTGTCTTGACTCCAGGATTTGACAGCACCCTCGTGATTTCTCTGGGTTATATCGATATTGCGTGTTTGAAATCTTAAAACTCCAGACCCTGAATGGAGCAATTCAGGCAGATTGGTGAGGTTTTGGGAAGTTTGAGAGCTCTCATGGTTTTACAAGATGAGGTCCAAATCAATCGACGCCAGTGCTGTTTGTTGTTTGATATCTTCTGTTTGGCTTTCAATACGATAGCCGAGGAGATCAGGCTGAACCTGAAACTAGAAGAAAAGAACACGAAATGGCATGCCCTTGACCATCCCTTGAGAGAGCTTCACAAGATCTTTAAAGAAGGAGAACTCTACGTTAAACAATGTATGGACAAGAAAGACTGGCGGGTGAAGGCAATCAACCTCCACCAGAACAAGGATTGCGTTGATAATCACATTCACAATTTGCTTTGCCACTTCCCGGTTGTCATTGAGGCCATCGAGACTGCTGGGGAGATAGCAGGGCTTGACCAGGATGAGATGCAAAGGAGGAGAGTTGCACTTGCAAGGAAGTACGACAAGGAATGGAATGACCCAAAACTCTTTCAGTTTAGATTCGGAAAGCAGTATTTGGTCCCTCGAGATATTTGTAGCCGGTTTGAGAGTGCTTGGAGAGAGGACAGGTGGAATCTTGTTGAAGCTCTCAAGGACAAGAAAAATTTGGATTCTGCAACCAAAAACGAGCAGCGGCTTGCTGGGTTGTTGATCAAGAAAATTATTGGATCAGAGGCTTATCAGGGTAACTTTTCCCGAGTTCAATTTTGTATGGAGGCGACTACCTAGTTAGGCGACGATTAGGGGCACAGTATAAGGAAATCCAATGGTTGGGAGATAGCTTTGTATTGAGACACTTCTTTGGGGAGGTTGAGCCTTCATGTTCTGAAATCTCTACCCTACTTTCACTTTCTCATCCTAATATATTGCAATACCTTTGCGGGTTTTATGATGAGGAAAAGAAAGAGGTCATGCTTGTTCTAGAGTTGATGAACAAGGATCTCAGTTGTTACATGAAGGAGAATTGTGGCTCTGAGAAGGAGAATCTTGTTCTCTTTTCCTGTTGTGGTTGATCTTATGCTTCAGATTGCAAGAGGAATGGAATATCTCCACTCACAGAAGATCCGTCACGGAGAGCTAAACCCTTCTAATATCTTTCTGAAAGCTAGGAACAACACAGAAGGTTTTTTCCATTTAAAAATCTCGGGCTATGGTTTATCTCTTGTCAAAACTCGTTCTTCTCCGAACTCATCACCAAAGCCAATTGAGCCAAACCCTTTTATTTGGTACGCTCCGGAAGTTTTGCTAGAGCAAGAACAGCCAGGCAATATTACCATTTCCAAGTACACAGAGAAAGCAGATGTCTACAGCTTTGGGATGCTTTGCTTTCAGCTCTTGACGGGGAAAGTTCCTTTCGAAGATGGACATCTCCAAGGAGAGAAGATGAGTAGAAATATTAGAGCAGGGGAGAGGCCTCTCTTTCCATACACAGCACCTAAATACCTCGTCAACTTAACCAAAAGATGCTGGCATACTGATCCAAATCAGCGTCCAAGTTTCTCATCCATTTCTAGGATCTTACGCTACATCAAGAAGTACCTTGTAATGAATCCTGACCATGATCAGCCTGAAATGCAATCCCCAGTTGCAGATTACTGTGAGATAGAGGCATGGTTCCTGAAAAAGTTCACCGCAAATGGGACTTTCAGTCCATTATCAGTAGCACAAATCCCATTTCAAATGTTTGCTTATAGGCTTGCTGAGAAAGATAAATCTATTTTGAACACCAAGGACAAGAATGGGGAGTTAGCCAGCGAAGCAGCCTCCACTTGCAGAGATGAGAACAATTCTACAGTGGAGGATCCCTTGATAGCAGCAAGTGATACAAAGTCTGTTTCTTCTGATGTAAAATCGGTTTGTTCAGATATCAAGTCAGTCTATTCAGATATCAAGTCAGTCTGCTCTGAAATCCCAGAAAGGAGATCAATCAATTTCGATACACCCCAAAAGAGATCGATTTCCACCAAGATTCCAGAGAAGAAAATGTTACTGATGAAGAAAAACACTAGCGTGAAGGCGAAAAAATTTTCAGGTCAGTTTACCTCTTGGCTCATTTGCCATATAAATTATTAACAACGTATAGAACTGCTATAAAGGCTCTTTAAATTCAGGAGTCAGGAGTAGGGATCCTAAATTAAAGCATTTATTCAATGGATTACAGGGACACTAAATGCACAATCTCCTCGACCACCAACTCTGAATCGTGGTCACAGTGTAAGGATAAACCGAGAAGGTCGCTCCCCATTAATAACGAGTTCCGTGAGCAGAGGCCGGCAAAGAGCAGCAGCAGGTCATACCTCGGATTAGCACCCATTAATCACCAGAATGAACGGCGTTGCTGCTGTTCCATAGGACATCTTGCCCAAGGTGTGAATTTTCCATGATACAGATAGTGGCTGCCTTGTGGTTTTTTTCCATCGTATTCATTGCAGTTTTGATACAGAAGGTAGGAACAGTGTAGTTGATCTTTTGCCGCACATTTCTGGTTCTTGTGTAATAGCATTCTAGCATGTAAGTTACCCCAAACTGTAGCTGTAATTTGTCATCAATATCCCACTCTCTACTTGTTCTATAAAAGTTCTTTCCTTTCTACTTTAGCTTCTGTTTTGCTGTGGTTTTTGTTTTTCTGATTACCATTTCATTTTGAGGCAATATAGTGATCTATTCTTCAAAACAGTTGGCTGATTTCTGCTAGAAACATTGCAAATCGGTCGTAAATATTCCAAGGAAAATTAGCCCATTCAGATTGTTGATCTAACTTTGAAAAAGCTGGCAACTTAAAAAGGGCAGAGTCATAGGTTTGATCTTAGAGCCAAAACTATCATATACATCAAAATTTGTAGATTTACAGAGGTAACCTTGGTTATCGTAGAATGCTTAGTTACAACCCAACAAAGAATTCCCTTAAATTTGAGTAAATTATCAATTATACCTCTAAAGCTATAATATGAACAAACAACCTGGCTAAGGCTAGTCCTCGATTGAAAAGCTTGAACGGACTGCACATTTGTTTCAAGGAGCAAAACAGAAGCAAGCCACATCCTAATCACCATAAACTCTTGCTCCAAGAACCGAGATGGAAAACCTCTTGTACAAAAGTTATCTTTTATCTCAAATTTGCTTCCCCATATTTACAATTTGATTCTCTCTATCTCAGAACCTGAAGGCGTCATGATATTCAGGAGTCTTAGGCCTGTAAGAAGTTTCACTGCAATCTAGTGCTGGCTAATCTCGATAATCTGGGACCAGAACTCCACTTTGGCTGACTTTATAGTATATTCTACGCATCAAAGCTGCATAATTAGCCACTGAGAGACTCGAGTCCTCCCACGTATGACATATTTGCCTGAACCCAAGATGACTTCACTGCTTACGAACAATAAGCCTCCAGAAGAAACCTCGGAAACTCTCAGGCTGTAAAAATGATGCCAGCAATTGATAATTCTCAGCAATTAACCTTCTCCTTAAACCATCTGCAACACTTTAATACATCCACTAGAATTTGCAGCGACAACCATGTCTGATTTCCCTCTCCAGCAGACACTTGATACAAACAGCCCGTTGTCATCATCAGTCTCTTTCCCAGAAATAGGATCAATTGACCCAAATTTATGTGAAGTGATTGGCATAGGCAGAGATCTATAGTAAGCAAAAACCTAGGACACAACATTTCAAGAAGTTAATGCGTCTGATATTGCAGCCAAAAGAAATAGATAATGCATTTGGCCACTGAGTGACTTTAGATCCCCCTTTCCCCCGCTCAAGAAAAAGGAAGAAAACCAAGCTTAAGTTAGTACCTCATTTGTTTCTGAACCACAAGCTACATAACCATCAGCAGCGGACAAACCCACAAAGTTCTGGAGAAGCAGGTGAAAAGTCAAACCAAACACAAACAATTACAAAAGTCTTGTCAGAGTTGAGATATAATAAGAACAAAAAACTATTTTCCAGAGGCAAAAGCCAACCTTCTCATTAGTATGCCCACGAAAGGTTAAGCTGCAAGCATTAAGGGACAGGCCAGCACTACTGGTTTTATTGAGGTCCCAAAGTTTTAATGTGTTGTCAGTGGAAGCAGTAACTACAGTTTCTGAGTCCAGGAATTTCACATAGCTCACAGCTTTATCGTGGCCACCAAGAACACACCATGGTGCTCTGGTATTCCGAAGATCATAACAATATGTTTTGTAATCCGCAGATCCAAATGCCAGTAAATGACTGGAGTGGGCAGAAAACTGAACGCAGCAGACATTTGCAATATTCCTGATGGTTCCTAAGCAGCTTTTCTACAGCCAGAAAGGAAGGGAAAAAGGTTACCCATAAGCTTATGCAAATTAGACTAGTTCTCTCAGACACCTTGAGTGATAAAAGATTGTCCTTATGTTTATGCTAAAACAGTTACCATTCATTTCCCAACTGTACAACATGCATAAACACACACAAGGACAGTTTCCTGTGATCTGATAGCTCCTCTCAGAGTTGAACTTTACACTGATCAAATTCTATGGCATTTGCACACAAACAATAATGATCCAGGACAATACCTTTCTATTAATTCTGTGTGTAATAGGATGAGGAAAACAAATAAGGTATATTCTTGATCAATAACATCACCGGATTGTAGACATTCTAGTACAAGCTTTTTCTTTGATAAGTGGAATATACCAGTCAACCTGTATGTTTGTTTCCTCGACCAAATTTGGTTCATTTACAGGAAAAAATTTTCATGAAGTGCCTACATCTTGAGCTATGAGATCCATAAGAGACCAAAGGAGAACATACCTCACTAATGCTCCATAGCTTCACAGAACAATCATCACTGCCACTAGCTAATTTTGTTGGATACACCTGAGAAAAGTCCACAGACCAAGCTCTCTTTTCATGCTCAATAAAATGAGAGACAGCTTGACCAGTGCTTGCATCCCATAACTGGATCCCATCCGAGCAAATAGTATCAATAAGCAATGCACGAAATTTAACATCCATAAAAAGTAATTTTAACAACATAAAGCTTATGACATATATGGAAATGACTGAGCTGTATTCAAAGTACATTAAAAAGAATTACAGGTATTCCAGGAACCAGGAGCTAGGCATTTGAATTACATTGTTCCATAACAGCACCAATAAACCATAAGCTATCACCAAAACATTATTCCAACATATAAGACTTGCAGATCAAATATGAATCCACTAGCAGAATCCAAGTATAGCATGGGCTTGAACAAAGGAACCTCCATAACCATTATAGACACAAAAGTTTTTGAACATGGTTATAGAAGGTATACCCATTCTCTGTAACACCTATGATTCAAAATTATGTCAAATGAAGCTTGAGATTTAATTATTATTAAAAAATAAATAAATAAATAAACAAGCTATTAAGCTTTTCTATAAACTACTGTAATTAGAAAGAGTATTAAGCCACTTCCTGAGCTTCTAAATCCAAAATAGAGACGCTCAAATTCTTGTTTTTGTCCAACTATATTCTATTCAGGAAGATACCAATAACCACCTATGGCTATGATCAGAATAAGAGAAAGTGACTTGTTTCAAAATTGCTAAGAAGAAACCAAAAAGGAAGATCCAAATTGCTAGAGGCTCTACCAACTATCAACCGAAAGAGATTCAATGGAACTGTCATAAGAAGGATGAAGTTTTGGGGTAAGAACAGGCAAGAGACAAGCAGCTCCTGTTGAGTTGGAATCTAGTACAAAAAGCCATGCAATTATGCCAGAGATATGACAAAGTTGCGAATGGATTCAGGTTATCAAAATTCTTAGAAAAGTGTTCCTTAAACAATAAAATCCCCCTAATTGCAAGATATACAAACCTTGACCAGACCGTCATAGTCAGTTGAAGCCAGATAGTTCTTGATGTAGTTGTTCCAGCAAACACAGCTAAGCTTTGATTTGTTTGACATCTCAATGACTGGATAATGAATATCAACAGAGTCATTAAAGAGTGCATTAAACTCAAATATCTTAATTTTCTTAGAGACCCCAGCAGCAGCAAAATAATCCTCATCACGGTCAAAACTCAAAGAACAGATTACGTTTGCAGAGTTGTTGAACTCCCCACTTCTCAGTATCCCACAGACTTCAAACTTGCTATATCGAGCATACTTGCACAAACCATCAAAGAAGGCGCCAACACTATCAGTAGGATTTGGTGTTTCTTCATTGTTTTGTGCCAAATGCCAGTTCTCACGATTTTCAAGTAAATCCTTATCTGGCCGTGTCATTGAATCAGTCTCACGAAACTGGACTCTCGATCTCATAGAGAAATAAGCAGTTTCAAGGTGATTGATATTTCTCATTAACCTCATTTCATTGGCACTGGAAAACTCGTATAAACTAGAATGCACCTCGGAAATTGGAGGTTCTTTGCCAAGGTGCCTACATTCTCTCACATTAAAGGAAGAATAAGTTAAAGGTTTTCTAGAACAGTGCCTTCTCTCAACCTCTTCAATGTCTGCTTCTAGGCATGAAATATCCTCCATTAATTTTGAGGCATGCTTCTGCTGTTGCTCTTTTAATAAACTAAGGAAATGCGATAATAGCTCTGATTCAGTATCATCTTGGATAATGGATGATGATAATTCTTCTGCAATTACTTCCTGGAATCCATTAATTACTTCGGATTGTAGGATATCCCTGATATAGATAAACAATCATAACCTTAGCAACTACATTGAATTATAAATGGACAGCAGGGTCTGAACATCTACATATCCATAAACAAAGGTAGCAAGTTTGTACTAACATAAGTGTTAATGCTCAAAACTTAGCCATCAGTTAAAAGAGCAAGGAAAGAAGAAAAGATACCTGCCAGTTAAAATTCATAAATTCATCAAAAGAAGGCAGAAAATGATTTATCATCAACATATTCTTACCTTGATGTAAAAAGGTTGACAATAAACACCAAGCTAAAATAGCGTTCAGAATCCATAACATTATCTAAAATAGGCAACTGGTAACAAAATGGAAAAAGAGCTCACCTTCAAGGAGAAAGAAATCCTACAAGTTATAAAGGTTCTAACTTCTAAATACATTTCTAGGGACTACTAGTATGTTTCCCATGCAAGTGGACCAACAATGCCCTGCACATTTCTCAAATGGGCCTTACATGGTGCATTTTAACTCCTTCAACAGTTTGATTTTTATTGTTTATTTGTTAATTTTTCATCTTTTTCCTTTCTACCAACTATAGATGGAATATGATTCTCTGATTAGTTCATAATCTGACCTACTGATGCTCCTTGCTTTATATCCCACGATATCTTATAGATATTTCATTACAAGATATAATTATCATAACCTAATCACTAATGCATTTAAAATTCTAGTCCACACAATAGCATTTGTCACTTTTTCTAATTCTCTATATCCAACAATAATTATAAGATTCTAGAACATGACATTTAGCATTGATGAACAATTTGCACTACCTGGTTGTTGGCCGTAAAGAAGGTTCTGGATGAAGTAGCCGAAGACAAAATCCAGCTTCCTTCATATTTTCAGACAGAAAAGTTGGAGGAAAAATCCTATGACGTAGATCTAACATTGCTGCAGCATGTGCTCTCTCAGATTCAAAATGACAAAGTAACTGAAAGAAACAATCAAATTGCTTCTCAGAATAAACACCATTTATTCACTCCCTTCCATGCAGACCCAAAAATACAAATATATAAGATACGATTCTTTAGAAGTAAGTGTGATTAAAATTCACATGGGAAGGCTGAACATAATATGGTTCAATGTTGCCCAAGAAGAGGGAAAAAAAAGAAAGGATTGGTTTACGTCAAGATGAGTTATTGCTGAATGTAAATCTTTCAATGAATAAGAAGAAAAAGAAGAAATTACAGCTGCTTCTCAAGCACATGAACATAGTTTAAAAACTTATTTTTAGAACTAGTTGTGCTTAAATTACAAAATGAATTGACACAGATAAGAAACATTAATCAGATGCAGATTTTTAAAACAGAAAAGAGAAACCAGTTTTACATCACATTTTAACCACCATGCATTGTAAAATAAAAATATGACACGAAAGCCATCATGAATATTTCATGCCAGAAATGCAGATTCAGCATAATTGGTTCTTGTACCTCAAAAAGCAGCACGCCCAAACTGTAAATATTTGATGAAATTGTGCAAACTCCTTCATTAAGTTCCTCTGGACTTGCATACCACTTCTCTTCCAACTGCTCATTCACAGAGATTGACTGCTGCTGAGCTGAATCAGATGCATAAGGGCTGCCAGAATTGCTAAGTTCTGTATTAAAACAATGCTCACTAAATTCATTGTGAGAAACTTGGGTATTATTTATGGTTTCAATTTTGGGTCCAGCTCTAGAATGAAAGAGAGGCCATTGTGTCGAGTTTTTGTTATCATTGAACTTCTGCTTTTTAGCACGGAGGCCAACTGAGGAAATCATCCCCTGCTCCATTCGCCTTCTCCTAATCAGAAAGTTCTCTGAGGGGGGGAAATCTTTATCCAAGACAGTATCTAGTAGTCCTTTTTGGACACCTGAACCAATATATTTAACCTGTTTAGCTTGCAACAACTTGAAGAAAGATGGGCGCAAATCATACAAGATAACTCCTTGAGACTGAGAATAATCAACCAGATCCACAATTTGTTTGAATATATACAAGCACTCTGATTTATTTGCTTTATGGCACTGTGCTTTCAGCCATTCTCTCAAGTTCATTCCATCACGATCACACTCACCAGCTCTTGGCCCCATGATCCCATAGGAAGAAGACGTCATAACAGCTTTGTTACCCAAGATCAGTGAAGTATTTGAAGCCACCACAGGGCTTCCAGCAGCCTTCAGTGGAGCAGTAGGAGCCACCATAGTTCCCCCAGTAGATTTTGTGTTATTCTGATCTCTAGGCTCAACTCTTGAGGCATCATGAGATGGACCTCTACATATAACTCCTTTCCCTTTCAATGTAGTTTTAACAAAAAATTCAGAAAATCCTGATTTTGATAGAATCTTTGTCTTAATACCTCCATGAGATAGCTGACTGCCCGAAACCTCAATATTATCACCACTCATCAATTGTTCTGTTGCTTCATTCTGCCCATCATTCAAAGGTTTCTGACCCAAAAATTCAGGAAAGGACGCATACGCTACATCCTGTGACATACTTGGCATTGCCTGACTGTTGTCCCGGTTGCCACATGAACCCCCACTCCCTGATCCACCCACCAACTGATAAAAATGCAGCCAATGGTTCTGTCTCATCTGCATTCTTTCTCTATTATTTGATGTACCAACCATGGGTAAGTTAGAACCATTGTAATTTCTCACAGTTAACTCTTCAACCATGTCATTTGCATCATCCATAGTGCGAGGGCTACTACATCCATGCTCTGATACATTTACAGGACCTATACTCCTATTTACTTTCTTACCTTCCATCATATCTCCAAGAACGTGGAACGAGCTCTCAATAGTATTAACCTCATCCGGTATCACCATTTCTCGGGACTCCAACATGTTGCAGCTGTCAGGTTTCATCAAATACTCAACCTCTTTACCCTGGAGGTGAGCCCCCTCAGCTGCATCTATTGGAGCTACTTCGTCAGATAGTCCTCCATCCATACTATAGATGCAAACTTCATTAAGTGATATGTTCTTCTTTCGCTGCATATCGAATTCCTAGTCAGAAACTATTATAACCATGTTCATAAGTGTTCTCATCAATCTAACAAATGGGAGGTCAGCACCAAGGCTCCAGCACAGAGGCTGCTTTCATGTGTATTAATTTAAAAAGAAAAAAGAATCAATTGAACACTTCATATGGTTTGAAAATGCCCAAATGGATGCAATTCCTCAATTTTCATAAAATGCAGCGTTTGACATCAGTAAGTGGGCAATTCAGAATACACATATTTAGCAATCAACTTGTCATTTCCTAAAATTGTGAACCAAAACGTCTGAGCATTGCTAAAAACACAAACAAGAGTATAATTTAATAATAAAGTTCGTGAAATTCTGAAACCTAACGGCCACAGAAACCGCTCATAACTTCCAACAAAACAAAGCTAAAGCTATCATCTCCAAACTTTTTACTAATTAAATTGTCATACCAATTTCCCAATTTCTAATAAACCTAATAACGTTTCGTTTAGTAGCAAAATGCAGAAAATGATATAACAATTTGAAAGACTTCATTATTTCCTTCTTCTCAACCAACTCCCGAAACCCTTCACTCAAAACAAATCACCGAAGGATCATTTCATCATTTCTTTTCTTCTCTCTCCTCAAACAGAAACTAAAACGAAATGCAAAAACTCCATAAAAACAAAAAAGAAAAAAGAAACATACCGCACCAATTCTTGAAACTGAAAACACAGAGAACTTCACCCGCCCAAGTGCAGAGCTCCAACTCCGTAAAGAAGAAATGGGACAGGGTATAACCGGAAATTGAAAAATAATAATCGTGAAAACCCTAGAGCCTCTGGAGACGTGAACGTGAAAAAAAGGTGGATAATATAGTACTTGCCTGACATGGAAAATGAAATATCTTCGATTGGAGAAGCAAAATTCTAAAAGTTAATTTTCCCCATTTTTTTATATAATTTTCTATGCGGAAAATAGTAATACTTGTAAATAAATAAATAATAATAATAATAATAATCTTAGATTTTTTATTTTGTTTTTGTCCGTTATTTGGTGTATCAATTCAAATGCCTTTGGGTAGTGTGTGCCAAAACAGAACAGATCTATTTTGACGCCTTGGAAATGCGGAAAAATGGCAGCCAGTAAATTTTATGGGACACTAAATTATTTTATTTATTTTTTTGGATAATAAATTGTTTTATTAATTGATATTGATAATTCTACTAGAAAGGTGCCGCGTTTCCGGGGTATTTACGGCAACGCCACTGCCATATCTCAGCGGACCGTTCCCTGTTCTTTTTTTTTCTCTCTCTCCGTTGCTGACTCAAATCGCTCCTGTCACGCTCTACTGACTCTGTTAACTTTTTAACGCTTGATATTGATGATTTAAAAGCATAGTTAAGTGGCTACCACAATCGAGGCACCTCACATTAAGACTGATTTGATCTCATCATCCCCACATACATTGATGTAAAGTTAATTAATAATATCATTACTAAGTATTATCTCTTTGTCGATAATGTTGACACGCATTACGTTTTGCACTTCCATATTTCTAAATATTTTATTGTCTTTATTCAGAAACTTAGTTTTCTTAACGGACGCGGACCTTTGGTTTCTAATCCTGTTAGCAGCTACAGGTAATAGAATACATTCTTTCTTAATAACTATCATGTGACTATGTAGTAGCAGTAGTAGTACTAGTTTCTAAAGAGGAAAAGAGAAACACGTTTGCTGCTGGGGGTGCGGCCATCGAACCAAAAGGCATCGGATGGAGAATGGACAGTCCACGCCTGTCCAACGTGGAGTGCTGCAGGGGACAAAAGAGCAGGTGAACATGGTAGCATCACGTGGCCAGACATGGGACCAGAGTTTCTATCATTCGCTCAACCTCTGGCTTCTACTTAAGCCGCGTCATACGGCCC